TCCTGCAGGAAAAAGCTAAAAATAAGCTAGAAACTGGTATCTACTATTATGGTTGTTTCTAATCTACTTTTAAGGATATCCCTCTTAAGTGTATAAAAATTCTTGCATATTTCATAGAATGTTTAAATAATTTGTAATACTATATAAAACAGAGTTAAGGAAGTAATTTTGTTTTTTGTATAGATGGACAGATGGACGTAGCTAGGTCTTTTGGACCCCAACCTTGGCACAGCTGTCACAAACTTATCTATGTCAGACCAAACCCTAAAACTGGAGTTCCCATAGGTCACTGGCCTGTTCCAGAATCCTTTTGGCCAGATCAAAATTCTCCGACACTGGTAAGTACTTGAAGTGAGGTAGAAGCAAGCCAAAAACTATAACTGCGTCCTATTCATGCGTTTTAAATCTTGGACTACCTTGTTCAAGTATAAGCATTGTAAAGGAAATTCAGACTAAAGTGTGAAAGGAAATGCAGCAGACAGATGTTTCAACTGCTGTGAATAATATACTGAGTGGCAATTAACATACTGTGTTCATTGTGGAATAATTGCGTGAGAGACATCTGTTTCTTTAAGAAACAGACTGCCTATAAGACTTTTATTACCGACATCTAAGCACAAAGCCATGAACGTAAACATCTTACTTAAATTTATCTCTTTCAAACGAAGTATTTTCCCCAAGGACGTAATTTAGAATGCAAATGAAGATTCTAGAACTGATGCTGGTTTCTCTCTTTATCTTGTAAACTATCACATGTAACCATCCAAAAGACAATCTATTGCTGGGTAGGAAGTGGGGAAGGACTTCTTTGTAAATATCTCCACAATTGGCAGACGGTAAAGCTAGTGATGACAGTATTTTAGTGCAGGAGTGGGAGAGTTGCCCCCGTCTCCTGTTCAGTGTAGCAGTGCTTCTTCCACAAATAATAGAAACTACTTCTTCAAGTGGTTACTCATGTGCATTTAAATTAGGTGTGCACGCACCGCGTGCATGGTTCCCGGAGCACTTTTTCCCTAGCGGTACCCGTCGGGCTGGCAGGTCACCCCCTTCTTCTCATGGAGGCAGCTTTTCAACTGGTGCTGACTGGCCACTCCACAGTGAGCAGTGTGCCGTTGTCGATGCAGGACACCACACCCCGTGCATGGACTTTGGTACCAAGAGCTCTGCACCATTCTTACTCCCCGGAACCAAAGAAACTAAAGGCTTCCTGCAGTAGGTCTCTGAGCCGGAACTCTAGGTCGGGCCTACTCCGCCGCTACGCCTCGCCACGCCAGACATCTCCAAGTGCTGCTGTGCGGAGGAAGCGAGCAGGGAGACCATCCAGTCCGGGTCAGCTACCCTCGCATCGTCCCTTGACGCCGGAGACTTTTGAGGCGGCGCAGGACTTGATTAGCCTCACTACCTCCCCTTCGTCGTCTGTTGAAGCGGAGAGGTGGAGGTGGTCTTAGTCAGGAGCCATGTTGGCACCAGTTGGATTGGTCGGCACCGGTCATGTATGCAGAAGGACCGTCCTCTGTGGGACCAGTACCACTTGCCTCTGTTGTTGCCGGACTCGGCACAGGCTGCCAGGCCTCACCCAGTGCTCGGCTGGACTCGACTTCCCTCAGTGCTGGGACCTCTCCCGGAGCTGGTCTTGGCAGTGTTGTATTACTCAGGCCATGTGGCACCGTCAGCGGCACCATCAGCAGTACCAGCACCAGGCCTCTTGCAGTCATCGGCACCGTCCTCTTCGGCACCGCTGCAAGTTTCGGCACCTATTCTAGTATGCCATCAGTTCTACTCATCATGGTGGCACCGGTAGGAGCGCTATCTCTGGGGCAGTTGGACTCTGCAGTTCCACACCCACAACTGGCACCGACCTCGGCACCACAGTCCACGTGCACCGTGTCGGCACCACAGTTGGGCCCGAAACCTGTCTTTCCGGTACCGGCTCTGGTATGACCTCACCGCACGCACGCGGGCAAGCCGGAATCCATGGCCAGGTTGGCTCCCTCCCCCGGTGGTAATGGGTACTCGTTGTTGGCACCACACTAGCCTGAGTCTGATTATTCGTCAGATTCGGATGTGGGCTCTTTCAGATCGGGATCCTCGAGGGCTTTGTCAGAGCATAGATCCCGTTCCTGGCACCGGTGTGATTGTTCGCATGTACAACAGACTTGGCCACCTCAGCCGCACTGGCCTTTCTGGACGCCATGGGCATACCATCAGTGGCAAGGGCCTGTGCCCTCGTCCACAGTGTCCAGTGTCTCCGGGCATCAAGCGCCCCCCTTGGCGTCCCTCTCGCGACCCCCTCCCTCGCCTTAGAGGACTGCAACCATAGATGCTGCTGCAGACCCGCAGGCTTCGGTGCTGGAGCCACTTCAACTGGGCCCTACGCTGGACCCGGCGCCATTCAGGAGGAGTTGTCGTCGTCTCCTGATGAGGCCTTAGCGGATCCCGCACCGGCGATGCCGACCATGGATGCTCGGTCACATCAGGATTTGCCCCGGCGTCTGGCCTCCAACCTGGGTGTCCCAGTGGAACCAGTAGTAGAGGACATGGGTCCAATAAGAGACATCCTGTCTGACGATGCGCCCTCCTGTTTGGCTTTGCCACTTAACTGTGGCTAAGATCACAAACGCCCTGTGGCAGACCCTGGCTTCCTTAACCCCTATCTTAAAGGGAGTTGAGAGGTGCTATTATATCCCAGTCGGGACACGAGCACCTGTATTCCCAGCCTGTCCCGGGGTCCTTGGTCATCCAAGCCATGGCTCAGGAGGAGAGGCTTCCACAGCCAGGGCTGTCCCCGAAGGCTAGGGAGCCCAAATGCCTAGATTTAATGGGGTGTAAGCTATATGTCACCGGTGGGGTGCAACTCCACATCGCTAGCCAGCAGGCAATGCTGAGTCGATACGCCTATAACACATGGGAGGCGATGGATAAGTTCAAAGATAAACTCCCCGCCGAGGAGTGTCAAGAATTTGGGGCAATGACCACAGAGGGCAGAACCAACACCCACATGGCTCTTCAGGCTTCCCTTGATGCTGTTGACTCTGCAGCGCACACCATGGCATTGGGTGTAGTTATGCTCCGTGGTTCCTGGCTGCAGGTGTCTGGAATACCTCCTGATGTCCAGACTACTATACAGGACCTGTCTTTTGACAGCAAAGCGTTGTTCTCCGAGCATACTAACTTGATGCTCAAAGACACAAGGTCGACTCTCCGGTCCTTGGGGATTCACACGCCGGCTCCTCAGCGACATCAGCTTTCCTACAGACAAGGGAGAATGTAGTCCCAGGTCCCCTGTGGGGATTACTGGAGACACCGTCCTCGCACTCCTAGTGGGGGTGCAGGGGCGGCCATGGCCCCGTCTTCGTCCAGAGCTTGTGGTTGCCGCCCGAGAGGGGACAACCCCCATGGGGTTGGACAGGGCCCCTCTCAACAGTCCAAGCACCCGTTTTGACGGTCCTCTAGAGCGTTACGCACCAGTTTCCCTCCCCGGCCCCCTGTTTGGGGCCAAGTTTTCCCACTTTGCCCATGCCTGGGAGCCCACGAATGGTCCCTCGAGGATTCGCCCCTTCATAAGGTCTTCCACAGGTGGGGTTGTCCCCTAGTAGACCTGTTTGCCTCGGCACACAACACCAAGTGCTAGGGTTACTGCTCCCTGTTGGGGCTGGGGGACCACTCCAGGGGAGATGCCAAGACCATGCCGTGGCTGGCGGGCATCCTCTATGCATTCCCACCGTTTCCCCTAATTCCCAGGGTTCTGACCAGGGTCAAGACCTTCAGGTCCACGGTCATCCTGATAGCCCCTTGGTGGCCCAGGCAGTTCTGGTTCCCTATCCTGGTGGATCTGCTCAGTGAGGAGCCTATAACACTCCCACCGGTTCGGGATCTCCTGACCCAGCCTCGGGACGGGGGGCTCATGCTTCACCCGAATCTCAGCTCTTTCCACCTGATGGCCTGGTTTATCCGTGGCTGACGCAACCAGAAAGGGAATGTTCCCAGGAGGTGCAGATGGTGCTCCTAGGTAGCAGGAAGCCATCCACTAGGCTATCCTATGCAGCCAAGTGGCGGCGGTTCTCGTCTTGGGCGTCCATAAGGGGGTGCACCTGTCCTGTCCATTCTGGACTACCTCTTCGAACTCAGGTCCGGTGGGCTCTCTACCTCTTCTATCAAAGTCCATGTGGCATCACTCTCCGCCTTCCATGTTGGATTGGCAGGAGTGTCTCTGTTCTCTGATCCTGTGGCCAGGTTCCTTAAGGGTTTGGATAAGTTGTACAACTTGATTAAACACCCTCTTCCCGCTTGGGACCTTAACCTCGTGTTTTCTAGACTTGTCGCCCCCCTTTGAGCCGCTGACCACATGCTCTTTGAAGCACTCTCTCTATGCAGGTTGCATTCATTGTAGCCATTATATCGGCTCGCAGGGTCTCCGAGCTGAGGGCGCTAACTATAAACCCGCCCTACCTAGTGTTCTTGAAGAATAATGTGAGGCTCTGCCTTCACCCGGCTTTTTTCCTCAAGGTGGTGTCACCTTTCCATCTGTCCCAAGAAATTTACCTCCCAGTTTTCTTTCCGAAGCCCCATGCCTCTCCTAGGGAGCAAGTGTTCCACTCCCTAGATGATAGATGGGTGTTAGCCTTCTATGTCGATAGAACGAAACCCTTTTATAAGTCCACAGAACTGCTTGTTTCTTTTGCGGACAGAATGAAAGGGCTCTGTATCTCGAACCAGAGGTTGTCCAATTGGGTCACGGGGTGTATCAGGGAGTGTTATGTCTTGGCCGGGAAGGTCCCGGGTTACAGCACATTCCACCAGGCACAGGCGTCCTCTGTAGCCTTTGGGGCACAGGTTCCAATTACCAAAATCTGCAGGGCGGCCACATGGTTGTCAGTGCATACCTTTACAGCGCACTATGCTGACACAGCAGGTCAGGGAAGATGCAGGGTTGGGCTTTGCGATCTTCAGCTCCGTGTTGTAAATGTGTTTATTTCTCTGTACCACATTGCACTTTTTTTTCTACAGTTCTCTGTGTTCTGTTACTTGAATAAATATGTCTGGGTTGTTCAACTTTCGTGGACTTCTCTTTCTGGGTGCTCCGACCCCTCCTCCATGAAGTGGGATTAGCTTGGAAGTCATCTCGAAGAAGAAAAGAACGGTTACTTACCTGTAACTGTTGTTCTTCGAGATGTGTTGCTCATGTCCATTCGATTCCCCGCCTACCTCCCCTTCGTCAGAGTCTCCAGCAAGAAGAAACTGAGGAGGGGGAGCACCGGCAGGGGGTACTTAAGCTCCGCTATAGCGGCGCCACTCCAGAGGGCAACCTGCCGGCCCGACGGGTACCGCTGGGTAAAAA